CACACGCACGCAGGCTTACAATCACATGCATAATATAAATGAGCAGCAAAATTAACAATGATAATCTCCAGCTAGATACATACTCAATGTTATTCTGATGCCTGCTCTTAGGTCGTATGAATACCTATACCAGATGGTTAAGATGGAAGCATTTTGATGGATGATGGTAAAAATGACCTTCTGTATCTTTCTTTGTTACAGATCAGAAGCCTAGGTCTTTTACTTCTGACTGATGTTTTTATTTGATAAATGAATATTTTTTTCCACTCGTTTCCCCCGGTAGCTGTTGAAGAAGAACCCGTCTGATCGTCTTGGAAGCGGCCCTGATGATGCAGCGCCTATCAAGGTGGGCCTTTTGTCATAAGCCTTAGTCTAGGGTTGGTCGTTTAATTGCAAACTAGCAGCTCTTCATGGCTATCGTTCTGATCTCTCCTCCTTCTCTTTGTGTTTGTTACTCTCTTTAACACCTCTAATCTTTAGCTTGCTTCTTTTTTCCTATGAAACATCTGTCGTTCTTTTCTCCCCTTCTTCTTTTTTGTGTTTGTTACTCTCTTGTAACACCTCTAATCTTATGGTACTCATATGACCTTATGCAGTTGCGAGTGCTGTAAAACCTCTACTTAAACTAATACTCTAATCTTCAGCACTTATATGGCCTTAATGTGTCGCAAGTGCCTTAAAACTTTTATTGAAACTAAACTAACTAGCGCTCTTCCTGTGACTCGATGACTGTCTGTGTCATCTTGTGAGGGGCTGAGCTTGTACAAAAGCGATACGGTTGTTTTCTTGGCTGTATGCTGTCAAGGAAAGGACAACATGAGTGGGTGGTTGGCGGGTGCTCTGGTGTGGTTTGCTCCTTCTTTCCTATCAGACATCTATCGGCTTTCTCTCCCCTCCCTTCTTTTTTGTGTTTGTTACTCTCTTGTGACACCTCTTATCTCAGGCACTTATATGACCTTATTGTGTTGCAAGTGCTGTGAAACTTTTACTAAAAAAGAAGTTACGTCAAGGAAAGGACAACATGACCCCCCCCCCCCGCACGCTAAATTCCGTTTCCCCAGTCAGCAGAAATCAATATCTTTCTGCTTTGACGATAATATTCAGGCAATGGTTGTAATTACTGCACTGGTTATTTATTCATTGCGTCTATCTCCCAACATTGGCCAACCAGTGTGGTCTGTAGTTGTGCCGTATGCCTAATTATGCATTCGTATTATTCAAATGAGCAGCAGGTGTTTGATTAGTCGGCATGGTACGTTGATAATAGCGCTTCTGACTTCTCACATCTTTTCACTGACTATTTGAAAAAACAATATGGCAGTCTGAAATGTTGGCTGGCCAAAGAAGTTGCTCTTGCCTTTTTGTTTCTGTTCATAACTACTTCGAACTTTTCATTAGTATGTCAGTGGGTGGTTGGCGGGTGCTCTGGTGTGGTTTGCTTCTCTTCTTCTTTCCTATCAAACATCTATCGTCCTTATCTCTCCTTGTTCGTTGCGAGCGCCGTAAAACGACTACCAAAACAAGCATATCTCCCCTTGTTCCTTTTTTATTTTTGTTGTACAGGGTGCCCACTACGGATGGGATGGGCTGATCGCCCGACTCGATCGCCTCAAAAACAAACGTGTTTTGTTTTCAGTTTCAGACGATCGAGTCGGGCGATCGGCCTGATCCAGCCGTAGTTTGCTCCCTGTATTACTCTCTTGAAACACCTCTAATCTTCTGGCACTCACATGACCTGAGGCAGTTGCGAGCGCCCTAAAACCTTTACTAAAACTGAAACAAAACTTAGAATTCCTTGTTAAAAAAGGAAAAGTGTTATCCTCGCTCACTGAAAGCCATTCTTAAAGTCAAAACTCGGCTTTGATTCATTTCAGTTTTGTTGTTTCTTGTATGTTTCAGAGCCACATGTTCTTTCGTCACACCAACTGGGACGACTTACTGAACAAGAGAATAGAACCACCCATCAAGATCGGTGTTGTAAGTTTGGATTTGTAAATTTTTTTTTTCCTCAAGTGAATGTTTTTCGGGCGCATTAAAAGGTTGTATTTTTTTTTTTGTGATTGGCTGGCGGGTGCTCTGGTGTGGTTTGCTCCTTCTTTCCTTCTAGCAAACATCTTTAACATCTTTCGTCCTTATGTCTTCTCCTTTTTTTGTGTATGTTACTCTCTTGTAACACCTCTATTCTTCGGCACTTTTATGACCTTATTGTGTTGCAAGTGTCGTAAAATTCTTACTAAAACTTATTAAAATTTTAAATAAAAATAAAGCCAGGAATAATCTCTTCCTTTTTCAAATTGTTTTTTTTTTTTTTTGGGAAGAAATTCAAATTAAGGATTCATTAAACCATCTTGTAGTGTGCTGTCTTTGATATATGTCCGCTCATTTCTGTCATAAATACCCCCCCATGGTAGGAAAGTATGATTCTTTTTTACTTTTGTAATGGGTGATAAGTTATCATCTATTGATCGCGGGCAGTATTGCATACAGATGTGTCTCAAAGGCCGCCAAAAATGACTTACGTCTGTTTGCAATACTGCCCGCGTGGTGTTAGGTAGGAATACTTTCTCTTCCAGGCTTGCTTACCTTCCTGAAGTTTTCAGGAAATTCCAGAATTGCCATCGTCGCGCGCTGTCTCCCTCCCCCCCCCCCCAAAAAAAATTATTATTTTTCTTAGAAAAGGCATAGAAATGCTGAGGACGAAGGAATATGTGTAGTAACTGTACTGTTACATTCTCATCTCTCTCTCTCTCTCTGTCTGTCTGTCTCTCTCTCTCTCTCTCTCTCTCTCTCTGTCTCTCTGTTTCTCCACTGGTTTGTTTTAGCTGTTTTTGTGGTATGGGTGGGTTTTTTTTTAGTAGCCTATCACAAAAGTAGAAGTGTGTGTCCGTGGCGCTCAGGAGCAATCAAAATTCCAGAATTCAGTATCTCGGAAGTTGGCAAGCCTGATATTCATTACATTATCATTACCAGTGATTACTATTCTACGTTGAAATGCTTTTGTATGATGTTACAACTTTAACCAGACTTGTTTAATACATTTTCTAGTTCATTTACTGTTTTTTGTTGAATTCTCTTACTCGATTATTTGTGTTGTTCGTTGTTTCAATGATTTATCAAATCTTCTTGGATTGATAACAACAACCACAACAACATACTGGATCGATAACATCAAATCTTCATTCTTCTTTTATACGTTCCTTCTCTTTGAATCCTTCCCTCCTTCTTTTTTTTTTAGTCTGTTTCACGTAGAATCCTCTCGCATGTAGTCAGCGAGCTGTTTAAATGATCTAAGCCAAAGAAGCAAAAGTTTCATTGCTTCATTTTTTTAACAGTTGTACCCTTTTTTTGTAACATATCTTTTTCTTGCCTTTTTCCACATTTAAAATTTGAATTTTTAAAACAATTTTTAAAACATATCTTGAGCTCATGCAAGGGATACTACAGATTGAATGTTACAGACTGCAAATAATTTTTTTTAAACAAAGTTTTGGGCTTATTACATGATGTGAATAGCTGAGTGGTGATATGTGGTCAAAATGATGAAATTGAAAATATGGGCAAGTTACTGACTGTTTGCCAATTTTTATTGAAATTTTGTTTTTTGGCTCAACACCTTTTTTCTCCATTTATAAACACATTTCTGTGTTGGTATTTCTGAAAAACGTTGATTAAAGGCGCGAAAAATGTAAATGTTTAGTTTCCAAGGACTGGAAGTCATCAAATTTTAGTAGCAATTTTCTATCTAATATTACCTCTGAAACCAGGTGACCCCCACCTCCTTCAATCGCAAATACATCGATTTCTATTCAAGACACAAGAGTACTTTTTTCCTAGAAAGATAGACACATTAACAAGTTTTAAGGAGATACTAATAACTCCTCATGCCCAACAATTGACGAGCGCCTGATTCGACCTTGTCGTGACACATATTTTCCGCATTCACTCTCTCATTCTGTGTTATTTCCTCCACCCCCACAGACCAGTGCCTATGATGTAAGCCTGTTTGACACCAAGTTCACCAAGCAGACGCCCTGTGATTCCCCGGTCGACATGACGGTCTTCAGTCCCAGCATCAATATCTTTGATGTAAGTCATTACACTGCTCGGGAGTGGTTATTACTTTGCCCCCACACGGGACCCCAATCGGCGATGGTAAGAAGCCGTCCCTTTTCCCCACGGGACACCAATCGGCGATGGTAAGAAGCCGTCCCTTTTCCCCACGGGACACCAATCGGCGATGGTGAGAAGCCGTCCCTTTTCCCCACGGGACACCAATCGGCGATGGTGAGAAGCCGTCCCTTTTCCCCACGGGACACCAATCGGCGATGGTGAGAAGCTGTCCCTTTTCCCCCACTGGATGCCGTTCGGCGACGGTGTGATATAGCATGTACAGCACCTGTATCCTGGTCCATGGGGATAAGTGTTCGCGCTGCTTGGGTGGAAAGGGTAAAGTGAAGAAGACAAGGTGGTGTATACGACAAAGGGGCTAGTCGCGCCGGTTGTTTTTGTTGTTTGTTTTTTTTTAATGGGGGGGGGGGGGTTAAAACAAGGGATATGGGTGGCTCGCGGGTGCTCTGATCTGCAGTAAGCTGACGAAACACCTTTTTTTTCTCATTTTGATGACGTTTTTTTTTATTCGCTAAATCGGAAGCCCGGTCAGTTACCGTACTTGTGTGAAAAAAATTTAAAAATTAAAAGTGAGACTGGCTAGTTTTTGAATCAACTAGAAATTATGAAAGAACACTTTTTAAAGGGTTATGCTGACAAAAAGAAAACCCCTCCTTTTCTTTGAACTGCTGTGAATTTTTTAAAAAGGCGTTTTGTGAGCTTACGGCAGTGATACTTGTGGTTTTTCTGCTTTCCCACCAAACATCTGTCGTCCTTGTCTCTTCTCCTTTTATTTGTATGTTACTATTTTTAAACAAGGGATGTGGATGGTTGGCGTGTGCTCTGATGTAGTTTGCTTCTTCTTTCCTATCAAACGTCTATCATCCTTAGCTTTCCTCCTTCGTTAATTTGTATGTTATTACCCAGTGACACCCCTGATTTGTTGCACTTATATGACCTTATTGTGTCACAAGTGCCTTAACACCCCTGATTTGTTGCACTTATATGACCTTATTGTGTTACAAGTGCCTTAAAACTCCTGATTTGTTGCACTTATATGACCTTATTGTGTCACAAGTGCCTTAACACCCCTGATTTGTTGCACTTATATGACCTTATTGTGTTACAAGTGCCTTAAAACTCCTGATTTGTTGCACTTATATGACCTTATTGTGTCACAAGTGCCTTAACACTCCTGATTTGTTGCACTTATATGACCTTATTGTGTCACAAGTGCCTTAACACTCCTATGAAAAATAAACTAAACTAATCCTGATATGATGGAAAAAATTTTTCTCTAAAATTTTCTCCTTTCACCTCCTTTCCTTCTCGCTCTAACCTTGTTCAGTCGTCTGCTTTCCTCTCCACTTTCTGCCCTCACCCCTTTTGCCCCATCCTCTGGGCTCCAAGACTTTTTCTGCGGCCTTCCTACTGCTACTGCTTGGCTTCTTCTGTTAATGTCTTTCAGCCACAACCCTGATCTTAAGATAATTATTTCCTTCCAAAGCTAAAAATATCTAATGTGTCCCTCGCTCTCATATAATCTTATGATGTTGTGAGCTTTGGTTGGCGGGTGCTCTGGTGGGGTTTGCCCCTTTTTTCCCGTCAGACATCTATCGTCCTTATCTCCCCTCCTTTCTATTTTGTGTTTGTTACTCTCTTGTAACACCTCTAATCTTCGGCACTTATATGATCTTATTGTGTTGTTGCGTGCACCGTAAAACCTTTACTAAAACTAAAACTTTGCCCCATCCTCTGGGCTATTTACCCTTTCTGCTGCCTTCCTACTGCTACTGCTTACCTCCTTCTACTGATGTCTTTCAGCCACACCCTGATCTTGGGATAATTATTTCTTCCCAAAACGAACCGTATGCAGTTGTGAGTGCCGATAAACTCTTCCCAAAAAATATACGAACTAAAGGAACACGCTTGAGAAAAGGGAAACAACTAACCTGATTCTATTTTCCTTCTCCTCCTCTTCTCCCTCCCTCTCCCCCCCCCCCCCCCTGCAGGGTTTCACATACGTGGCCCCGTCTGTGCTGACGGAGATGGCCACCCAGCCCTGGATCTCCGAGCGTGGGCCTCGCTCGCCCCGCAAGAGCTACAAGAATGAAAGGTGAGCCGTCTCCTCATGTGTGCTGGAAAAGAGGCTTTGTCTTTACTAATAAACTTGAATCAGGAACAGCTCTAAAAGAACAAGCCAAAACTAGCTTTAATTAATACGAAACAGTTGTCACTAGTCCTGGGCGCTTTTTACTCTTTTTCGTTCTTTTATTTATTCTCTTTTTCTTTCTTTTTTTCTCTCTCTCTCCCAATTTTCAAACTTTAAATATTCACATTTCAGCCTACTGCTCAACAACGGGCTGGAGGGCTTCTACCAGGCCAACGCGGCGGCCGCCCACGCCATTGCCACCCAGCGAGGCAACCACCCGGGCCACGTGAACCAGGGACCAACCACGGTGGTGGCATCGTCGCGGGCCGTCAACGGCTACGACACCTCGGCGCAGGAAGACATGGACACCTCGGGGGGAGCAGCGGCCGCAGCGACCGCCTCAACGTCGGGAGGCGGCATGACGTCATCGCAGGGCGGAGCCACGGGCGGCGTGCACCACAGGTCATCATCTAAGCTCACCTCCCCCCCTACCGACAATGTCCCCATAAACAGCACGCGCCAGCAGCAAAATCGCCGTCGGGCCTACCCCGGCACGCAAATCCGCCCGTCACATCTACAGAGGCTCAATGATAGTCATAATAAGTAATGAGGGGGCCTCCCCCTCCCCCTCTCCCTTCCCATCCTCCCCCTCCCCCTCCCCCTTCCCCTCTCCTCCCCCGCCTGGTCTAGGGTCAGAGACTGGGTGTAGTTTGTATATATATACACACGTATTTTTATTGTCGAAAGTGAGTGATTAATTTATTGCCTCAAGCAGTGTTTCTTGGCCTTATGTACAGTTGAAAGGGAAGTGGGATACCCATTTTAAAAATATTTTTTCCTCGTAAGGTTGAATGAAATAAGTGAGGTGCTCAGAGTGACTGCCACACACACGCACGCACACACACACGCACGCACACACACCCCGCTGTGGCCTGTGGAATGATCCTCAATTTTTGGGGAAGTGGATGATATTTTGACAATAGAAAAACAGTTGAAAAGTTTTTTTTCTCCAAACCGAAAACCCAAATTTTTTAAGGCAGGCAGGTCATTTACTTCTTCTTGTGGGTGTTCATTACGTTGGCTCGTCTTTCTCCTTTCTAAGTGCGAGTTTTGCGCAAACAGTAACTTTCTCATTTACTTATGATCACCAAGTGGGTAGGTTGAGTTGTTGTTTTTTTTACTTGCGCTGATAACAATTGACTGCCGCCGCAGAGTCGCAAGAAATGTCAAAGATACATAAGTACAAGGGAGTAGTTTAAACGTGACTTGTTCGAGTTGCGCTGCTTTCACTCACTCTTTCAGAGCTACACTTCTCCCTCTGAGACCTAACTTTGACAACACACTTTACAGAACATTACAGCAACTGCAACAAACCTGCACTTATCACTACATGGCATTGGACAGAAAGGCGAGAGCCCAGGTGTTGTTAGATCGATAACAACAACAACAACATTCACTCACTTTTTTTACAGCTCATTTTTTCAATGATGGTGCGGATATGACTAATGATGGTTCATTGTAAACTCTGTAACTTTTCATTTGTAGGTAATTAGAAATAGTATGTGTATGGTGAAAGTTTTGGAATCAGTCTGGCAGTCACCCTGAGCATAGAAAACATGAGTCAAAAATGTGTGCCAAATGTCCAAATTGTCACTGATCCTTTCCGTGTTAAAAGTAAAGTTGTATATTCATCTTCAGGATATATTACTTTAAAAAAAACAACAAAACTTTTGCGCCTGATTCTGACCAGCTGCATTGAGGACTAAGTGTAAGGATTAAGAAGAAAAAAAAAAAAAAAATCTCCACATTGAAAACGGAAAAAGTGCACATAATTATAGCAGACTGCATTCAGGACTGTAAGTGTAAGGATTAAGAAAAAAAATCTCCACATTGAAAACTGAAAAAGTGCACATGATTATAGCCGACTGCATTCAGGACTGTAAGTGTAAGGATTAAGAAAAAAAATCTCCACATTGAAAACTGGGACAGGTGACATGCTGGACATTTTGACACAAAGAGTCACTGATACGGTGATTGAGCTGGTGGTGAATGAGGTTGTTAAATTATTATATATATAAGGGAGGCCTGGGACGACAGCAAAAAAGGTTAAGAAGCACTGCAGACTAAAGCCATTTTATATGACTTTTACGGAGAGATTACTCTGCGCTCTTAATGAACGGTCAGTAAACGGACAGTCTTAATTTCTCAAAGCGTTCTGGAAAAAGGGGAAACTTACTCCGTATACAAATTTGCCTACGGGGCCTGAGATTTCCAGAGTTTTCCCTCGACTCGGGTATCGCAAATTGGCTGACCGTTGCCTTTGTTTTGTAAATAGTTTCAATTGAAATTGCCCCCCCCCCCCTTCCGTTCTCCCCAACCCCTTAAATAAAACCCTAAAAATAAAAATAAAAAAGCACATAAAGAAGACGTTTTAAATGGCTTTAAACTGCAATCTCATCCTGTTCACAACCACGGGCGTGTGATTAGTGTTGGGCGAAAGTAAGACTTTTCTCAGTCAGCGGGTTTGTGCGGAAGAAATATTCGAATGATGCCCACGGAAGAATGTTTGGGTCAGACTGTCTCGAATACCTTACTTCTATTGATTTTAAGACAAACCTTGTTTGTTTGTTTTTTTAAATCCTCAAGTCCCTCATGTATGGTTGTAGTTCGGACCTCAAAGTCTTTGTTTTAAGATGTTATATACGGCAGTATGCCAATTAATAATGCTGTTCCCTTTTACCTGCGACACCCAAAAGGGTTATAAGTGGCGGATTAAAAGTAACGTAAAGTAAAAAAAAGTCCCCTTTTCTAGTACCCAAGCCTAAATATGCGGCATTGGTTGTTTATCTTTGATCTGGTTCTGAAGTTGGCAGTTGGCTAGTTACTAATTTGGGCAGCTACAAGAGCAACATATTGCCGAATTTTGTCCAAAGTGCCTCATTGCATAAGCACACTTTGGACGAAATGTGTCACGGCGCGGTGGAATCAGGCGCTCGTCAATTTTGAGACCTATGGAGTTATTGGTATCATCTTAAAGTCTGTCCATTTGCCTTGCTTTTGATTTTAAAAAAGTATCCATTTATCTTGGGTACAAGTCAAGCTATTGGCGATTGAAGGTGGTGGGGTCACCTTCTTTCAGAGGTAAAATTAACGAGAAAATTGCCGCCGAAGTTGAGTTTTTTCCTGGCTTGAGAGTCTGTGGAAACTGAATGAAAATTTATATCTTTTCCGCCTTTAATCAACGTTTGTCAGTAAAATCCATACAGAAATGTGTTCTTTAATGGACATAAAGGTGTTGAGCCAAAAAACAAAAATTGGTAAAAACGATTCCCAAACATGCGGAAAACTGCCAGTTTCTTCACTTTCATTATTTTGACGAGCGCCTGATTTCACCAAGCTGCCTCAGAAATAGTTCTTAGGGAACGATATGTGTGCTGAGGAAGAAGTGAGTGTCACCCCCCACCCCCCCCTGAAATCTTTGCCTCTCCGCATGTCCTCGATGCCGAGACTACCTCCTCCAGCGTTTTTAACCCTTTCAGCCCCAGCCATTTTTTTGCAGTCCCTAACCCCAGTCCCAGCCGATGCGGGCAGTATATTAGAAAAAGAAGCGTGCATTCAAAAAAATTGATGTAGTATCTTTGTAATTAGGTTTATAATAAAGTATAACAACGTTTAAAGGTAAATGAATAAATATTATGAAAATTAAACTTAAGTTAGGTTAGCGAATTTTTTTAATACACAAATTCGGTGGTTACACCCCCCCCCCCCCCGAAACTGAGAATATATACTCTCTTGGGACGGTGGGAGGTACACGCGCCGCTGAAAATATACACACTTGGGGCTGGAAGGGTTAACTGACTATTTTTAACTCCGATTCTGAGCCGAGTGAGCGGCTTCTGTCTTCCGGTGGATTCATCTGGGCTTTCACACACACAAGGTTGTTTGTTGTGGCTTTGTTTGTCTTAATCATTTGTAAAGATTTGTTTGAAATCCTGTATGTCGGGGGGGGGGGGGGGGGGAGAAGAGTTTGGTTATGCTTGCTGAAAGCTGTCCCTGGATTTTGCCGAGATATGGCGGTCGGCAGTACAGAGTAGGCTGCAGAACGTCTGTTTGTGATTGTCTCTCTTGTCTGAAAATGTCGCTGACAGCAGTTTCTTTTCTTTTTCAAAAAAATTTTTTTGTTTTGTTTTTACATGCGCCTGATAATTATTGTGTAAATAGAAATGAAAGTTGGGATGTATTTCCACAAATTTGTTTTGACATCCCTGCTAGGTGCCACTGCTGTCCGGGGGGGGGGGTAAATAGTTTGTAAGCCAGCAGGGATTCTACTATAAGTGCCACTGCTGTTAAGGGGGGGAACTATTACGTTTGCACGTCATCGGAGATTTTACTGAAAGTTAACTTCCTGGTGAGTTGTTTTAACCCTGTCAAATCTTACGCCTTGAACCGAACCGAACTTCCCCTCAATACCTGGCCTCCTGAGCAAAGGTGTGCAGAAAGTGGTTGACACATGAGAACGAGTTGTCATATCAGAAACACATGAAACTTGGTAGAAATACAGACAAAGAGGCCTACTTTTGAGCCAATGCCAAAACTCTGATAGGTTTTCAAGTACCACACGTGTGGTAAACAGTTTAAAAATATGACGCGACCTCCCAATTACCGGTGTACTGGGAATCCGGCATAATTTAAGTTTGGAGTATTGTACCGGGAATACGGTATGATGGGGATATTTTGACATTGCCCTAGTGCGTTACAATATGAAGAGGAACTTGTGTGCTCTTTAAGAACATTTCAGACGTGACCAACAAGGGCCTTGTACCATCAGGAGGCGGGAGAATCTGTAATTTGGGCCGGCAGGGAAGAGTTATTTATGGTGTTTTTTGTGTGTTTTTTTTAAAGAATAAGACGACGGATATAGAAGCAGCTGTCCGTAGGTCTTTTTTGTTTTTTTGTTTGTTTGTTTTGTTTTGTTTAAAGAATAAGACGACGGCTATAGAAGCAGCTGTCCGTAGGTTGCTTGCTTCCTCGTCCACCTTCCCAAAGTCATTGTGGTGGGGATATATATAGAACGACATCTATTCCCATCTTGCCCGTCCATGTAAATTGCATTATTTAATTAAGTAAGTAATGAAGGGGTGTCTGGTGGCAGAAAGCCAGTGCAGTCGTTTCGCTGTGATCGAAATATTATAGTCCTATTCCATCAGTTTTGTCGTTTTTTTAGAAAAAAAAATTGTTTTGTTTTGTTTTTGGTTTTTTAAAATTTATTTTTTTATTTGTGATTATGTGGTGGGGTGGTTACTTTATTTTAATATACAGATATATGTGTGTACTACAATGATATCTACTAGTTCGTTTGAACTCTTTGCATGTGAGCAGATTAAACATATTTTTTTGTAATTATGATTTTCTTTTCTTTTTCTTTTTGATTATTTATTTCCAATTTTCTCTTTTGATTTATA